CAAGACCCCCAAGTCCCTTTCAGCATGGCTGGTCTCCAGCATCTCATCGCCCAGTCTGTGTGTATAGCCAGGGGTGCCCCTTCCCGGGTGCAGAATCCGGCACTTGCCTTTGTTGAACCTCATGCGGCTGGTGATTGCCCAGTTCTCCAATCTGTCCAGATCTCTCTGCAAGGCCTCTCCGCCCTCGACGGAACCAACAGCTCCTCCCAATTTGGTATCATCTGCAAACCTCCTCACGACACCTTCTAGTCCTACATCCAAGTCATTTATGAAGACATTAACAAGAACTGGCCCTAAAATTGAGCCCTGGGGAACCCCACTAGTGACTGGCCGCCAGCCTGATGTAACCCCATTTACCATAAATGTCCCATTCCTGCCATCAATGCCATAAAACCGGTGGCACTCAGGCTCCCCTGTTTTCACCCATGCTTCAACTCCATTGCACAATCAAAGGATCAACCAAAACACTGCTGCTGGCTGCAAAAACTAGCAAAACAGGCTGAAGGTTTTTCCAGTTTTCTTCCAAACGCCGAGCAGAGCCGCTGGAGACAAAGGGCTTCCCCAGGTAAACCAGTAAAAACGTGAAGGCAGGATGGAGAAACTGCAAGGGACAAGGTAGGCTTCGCCCTGCAGAGCCAGCTCACCAGCTGAAGGCACTGCGCAAGAGGATGAGGAAAGGAGAAGACAATGACATGCAGAAAAGGAATGTCACGGTGCACAGCAAGGACCTTCGACAGAGCAGAGACTGGGGTCCTCAAAAAATGAGGTATGGATGGTCCTGGATCTGCAGGAGCTGCTTCCCACTTACGGTACCGCTACCAGCTGGTGCCCAAATGCTGCCAGCGCTACGGGCGTTGGTGGGGTGGCAGCTCCCGAGGTCTTTGTTCAATGCCCCACGTGAAACAGGACCGGCACCGGATCGAGGCGGCTTCGGCTTCGTTTGGGTTTTAAAAGTCTCCCGGAGCCAGGGCTCAGCACCCTGAAGGAGGGGGAGCAGCAGTGAAGCCCACAGCATTACCCACATCTACGGACAATCTCCGCTTCTCTCTCCACCTTCTGCAAACACCAGTCCCAGCCGCGTAGTTGTTCATTTTTCTCCTCAGTGACTTGCTGGATCTCAGCACTCCTGACGAATCTGAACACCGTACCAGTCCTTCAGCGCTCAGTGCTCGCTGCTGAGCCCACCCTCACCGTCTTTTCTCACTGTTCTGGGTTTCCTCACTTTATGCGCACACCTAATTTTCAGATGATGTCATTACAAAAGCACTGTTGCCTTCTTGAACGCTCAGTGGTTTTAAAAAGAGCAGAGTCTCACCTCTGGAGAGGCTTCAAGTGCGAGAATCGCATTCTCGTGCATTACTGTCTTTCTTTACAGACTTCCATTGAATTTATTTCATGTAAATAGACACACAGCAGACAGCAGCAGAGCTGCAGTTAAGGTTTTTTCCCCCACAGACTTGCACACTTTGCTTCTTGCAAGCACGAGGAATATATATGCTTCAAAGTTGGTAATCCTTTAGAGAAAGCCAGGAGCATCCTGGTTCTAACCGGCTCCATTTTAATCCCATCCACGAGGCAACTCTTCTCCCAGGGCTGATCGCTGCCACCTCACCCGCTCACACCCTCACTGCCGCCTCCTCCTCCTCCCTCTCAGTCCCCAGCCACGCTCACAAGGCCACCGCTTGCGCTCCGTGTCTCCTTGCCTCTATCCCAGCAACCTACAGACACTCAAGACAGAAGGAAAACGTTTGCAAAACAGCTGGTTTAGGGACACTGCTACAGTACTGATTTTTTAACCATGTTTCTGAGCAGAGTTCTTGAAGCGCAGGTCCACTCATCTCCCCTGGAACAGATGCTCTCTCCAAAGCAGTTCCCACCTAGTTTCTCCTTCAGCCTTTGACACATTTATTTCACCATCCACTCTCAACACCAGCCAATTGTCAGCTCTGCTGCTCCAGTATTAAAAACAGAACATCTGATTTTCTGCAAAGCACCATTCCTTCCGTCCAACAATTCGAAAAGAAACTCTGAAGAGGCAGATTCAAGAAAATCTTTTATATACAGACATATATACCATTTTCTCCACCTCCCGGTTCTCCCAGCCCCCGGGACAGAAATAAAGCAATATATCCTTTCCTTCATTAAGACACTAGAACAAATATCATCCTTTGGAATGTTTTCACTTCAGTATATTTTTCTTTTTCAAAGCAAGCAACAATAACCATTTACCAAGCTGAAGGAAAGTTACACGGTTTTGGACGGCAGCCTTTCCCACAGCGTTTCGCTGAGGATTGTTTTATTTACCTGGGACAGAGAATTGCTCCAGTTCCACGCCCTCTCTAGTACAGTTTCCCTTGTTTCATTCAGAGCCGGTCCTCAGACTTTCTTCTCTATAAATGCAGTATGTTGGCCCTGAAGATAGCTCACTATTTTCTCCTCTATTTCCATGCCTTGCGCTACTTCCTCATCAGAAAGAGATAACGGAGTCTGGGAGTCTTTGGTTACGATAATAACAGAGGTTCTCCGTGACTCCAGGATATTTGCGACCACCACCTGGTGACGATATTTCTCCAGAGCCTGCCGTGATTTATCGATTAAGATCAAGGGATCCGTCTCTAGTTTAAATGAAATAACAAACGCCTCCGGGGCCCATTCTTTGACAAGAGGAGACAGCATTTTTGGCACCATCTTCATTGTGATCTGCAGAGAAAAGTTTCAGTATAAACATTATGATGAGTTTTAGTAAGAGATACAGGGGGAGCTAGGGAAATTCCAGCTTCACTTTGTGTTATATTTACACTGGGAAGTTTTCCAAGGCAGTATTTGGTCAGATCTCACCAAACAAGGTTAAAATGTCACTGGCATGCACTGTAAAGTTAAATTAAATTATCGGTCTGGTATTAACAATAAGCAGGGTGTTCTTAAGCAATGAAGCAGGCCCACAGTAACTGCATAAATATTTTGTTATTTAAGAGCTAAAACTCACTCTGGGAACATAAACATAAGCAGAGGAACATAAAAAAAAAAAAAAGAATTATGACTGCAAAAGTCTGAGTTTTCAGGTCTCCAAAATCCAGGCATTTATTGAACCTTAAGCCTTCTGTCTATCAACTCTTTAAGCACAAATATGCCAAAGCACGGCAGGGAAAAGTAGGAGTCCCTGTTCTTCAGCTTCTTAACCTCTGGGTCTGTCCCTGGGAATCAGGTCTGGTCTCATTTTTCCCACGCTAAGGATAAACAATTAAGCCTAACAACTTCTTAAAAGCTAATTAAACTAAACAAATTGGGTATTTGTTATATACAGAGCTCTAGATCCACCTGCTCCCGTAGATGAAAGGGACCTGGGCGTGAGACACGCACTACACCTTTGGGCTGTTGTCAGCGTTAAGCAGAAAGAAGGAAACAACTCCAGCAGCAACTGTTCTTCAGCCAAGACCCACCATCTCCGTGCTGTAAGCACCGACAGCTTTAAAGGGATATTTCCACGGGATTCTGCTCCTGTGGAAATCTGCCCTTCATTCCCACAGGCTTTTATGGCCAGCCAGCCGTTGTTCTGCCACCT